AGCGCCCCCTACCATATAACAATGAAAAGATGAATTCCCAGAGCACAAGTATAGCTCAAATATATTTAGACTTTTTCTAAGTACAAGTCAAGTATACTTAAATGTAATTTTAAGTATATTTCTGAGAAGTACATAAAATGTAGACTGAAAGTATACTTTCTTATTTTTAGTTTAAAAGAAGTATACTAATAGTACACTTGAATGAACTTATTTTTCGTAAGGGTTGTCAACACCGTTCTGTGATTTCTCAATAAGATAGCTTATAAACTGAAAAGTTCAAGCATATATTTCTTAATAACTAAACCCCACAGCTTCACTACTAGTGGAGAGATGCTGCCAGGTAGAATTAATTCACACACGCAATCGCTCTCACTAATGCATTCATATGAATGTAATCTTTACTGTGCTACTTTATCTGTATCTGATTTAGGACGAGCAGAAATCTGTGAGAAATATAATAACCTAAAGACAAAAGAACTGATAAAAATGAGCTGTTACAGGAGCAATAGCCATGTGGGCAGCACTGTGTCATATGCCATAGGTGTGCACAAGGTGTTTGTCACAGCTCCAGACTTATTTGTTCATTAATGATGTCATCAGCGACTAGTCAACTTTGACTCGACTTTCATCACATAAGTCAACTTTAAAAAAATCAGAAGTCGTTCAACCCCTAATTTGCACACACATCTTACAGCTAACAGTTGAAAATGCATATCAGAGGAAAACCAAGCCCTGAGGTGTGTGTATATATATATATATACAGTGGGTACGGAAAGTATTCAGACCCCCTTAAATTTTTCACTCTTTGTTATATTGCAGCCATTTGCTAAAATCATTTAAGTTCATTTTTTTTCCTCATTAATGTACACACAGCACACCATATTGACAGAAAAACACAGAATTGTTGACATTTTTGCAGATTTATTAAAAAAGAAAAACTGAAATATCACATGGTCCTAAGTATTCAGACCCTTTGCTCAGTATTTAGTAGAAGCACCCTTTTGATCTAATACAGCCATGAGTCTTATTGGGAAAGATGCAACAAGTTTTTCACACAT